ATATGTGGTCTATTCTGGAGAATGTTCATGTGCATTGGAAAAGAAAGTATATTTGGCTGCTGTTGGGTGGAGTGTTCGGTATATGTCTATGAGATCAAGTTGGTTGATTGTACCATTTAGCTCTTCCGTGTCTTTGTTGAGCTTCTTTCTGGATGTTCTGTCCTTTACCAAAAGTGGTGTGTTGAAGTCTCCTACTACTGTTGTGCAGCTGTCTATTCCTCTTTTCAGTGCTTGTTAGAGTTTGTTTTATATTTTGGAGCCCTGTCGTTGGGTGCGTAAATATTTATTATAGTTTGTCCTCCTGGTGTATTAACCCTTTAATCATTATATAGTGTCCTTCCTTATCCTTTGTGGTGGATTTTACTTTAAAGGCTATTTTGTCAGAGATTAATATTGCCACTCTTGCTCTTTTTTGAGTTTTGTTTGTTTGATATATTTTTTTCCATCCTTTGAGTTTTAGTTTGTTTGTGTCTTTAAGTCTAAGGTGTGTCTCTTGTAGGCAGTACATAGACGGATTATGTTTTTTAATCCAATCTTCCACTCTCTGTCTCTTTATTGGTGCATTTAGTCCATTTACATTCAGCATAATTATTGATAGGTATGAGTTTAGTGCTGTCATTTTGATGTCTTTTTTTGTGTGTTGTTGACAGTTTCTTTGTTCCACTTAATTTTCTGTGCTGAGGCATTGTTCTTCATATATTTTCTTTTTATCTTTTTCATTGCTGTTGATTTTGTGTTTGCTGAGTGTTTATATTTTTCTAGTTTTTTATTTTGACTTGTAGGATTGTTAGTTTCCTTTGTGGTTACCTTCATATTTACCCCTATTTTTCTAAGTTTAAAATAGTCTTTTATTTCTTTATATTGCCTTGACTTCCTCTCCATATGAAAAATCTATGTCTGTAGTTTTTAAGTCCCTCTTTTATCTGTTTTAATGTTGTCATCTTTTACATATTGACATCTGTTTCCCTATTTTCAGTGTTTTAGCTTTGATTTACTTTTGTGACTTTCCTATCTTTGTTGATATCTGGTTGCTCTGTCCTGTGTTCTTCTCTTAGGTTGTTATCTGATGTTACTGATTTTCTAACTGGAGGACTCCCTTTTGTATCTCTTGTAATTTTGGTTTGGTTTTTGCAAATTCCCTAAACTTCTGTTCGTCTGGAAATGCCCTAATTTCACCATCATATTTGAGAGACAGTTTTGCTGGATATATAATTCTTGGCTGGCAGTGATTTTCCTTCAGTGCTTTATATATGTCATCCCATTGCCTTCTTGCCTGCATGGTTTCTGCTGAGTAGTCCGAGCTTATTCTTATTGACTCTCCCTTGTAGATGACTTTTCGTTTATCCCTAGCCACTCTTTAAATTCTCTCTTATCTTTGGCTTTGGCAAGTTTGATTGTAATATGTCTTGGTGACTTTCTTTTGGGATCTACCTCATGTGGGGTTCGATGAGCATCTTGGATAGATATCTTGTCATCTTTCACGATATCAGGGAAGTTTTCTGCCAAGAAATCTTCAACAACTCTATCTGTATTTTCTGTTACCCACCCCCGTTCTGTTACTTCAATCACTCATAGGTTATTCCTCTTGATGGAGTCCCACATAATTCTGAGGGTTTCTTCATTTTTTTTTTTTTAATCCTTTTCTCTGATTTTTCCTCAAATAAGTTGGTGTCAAGTGCTTTATCTTTGGTCTCACTAATTCTGACTTCCATTGCCTCAATTCCGCTGTTACGACTTTCTATTGAGTTGTCTAATTCTGAAATTTTATTGTTAATCTTCTGAATTTCTGATTGCTGTCTCTCTGTGGATTCTTGCAGCCTGTTAAATTTGTCATTATGCTCTTCTCTGATCTTTTTAAGTTCCTCTATCGCGTGTTCTGCATTTTGCTTAATTTCCTTCCTAATTTCTTGAAGAGTTCTGTATATTTATCTTTTGTATTCTGCCTCTGGTAATTCCAGGAAATTTTCCTCCTCTGGAAAATTTCTAGATTCTTTATTTCGGGAGCTTGCTGAAGCCGTCATGGATTGCCTCTTTATGTGATTTGATATTGACCGTTGTCTTGAGCCATCAAGAAGTTATTACAGTTATTTATTTTATGTTTTCTTACTGTGTCCTAGCTTCTTGTTTTGATATGCCCAGTTAGGCTGCTCGTATGAGGTAGTTTGATTATTGTCACCTTTGATGCTCTAATATCCTGTCACCAGGTGGTTAGATCTGTTACTAGGTATGTGAGCTCAGGAGTCTGCCCACTGCTCCTGTATGGATTCAGCTCAGGTGCCCAGGTAGATAGGCACCAAGTGTGTGGTGTAGGCTCTCTCTTACAGTCCTAGACAAGCATGGGTGATTGGTGTAGGCACAGGCATCTGGCTGCAGCAGGGGGACACACTCTGAGCAAGGCAGGGGGCTAATGTCTGCCCCCGAGTGTCCAGGAGGAAAGCATTTCCCTGTTCCCTAGAGTGCGCAGGTGTGTGGGTTTTGCAGCCAGACTGTGAGCACCTAATGCTGTTGGCTGTAAGGACTGGGGACACCTCTTATTCATGAGCCCCTCCTGCAGGTGGCTAGGTGGTGTGGGTGGAGCCACCAGTCCTCAGGCCACTGATGTGGATAGGTGAAGACCCTGCCTTATGGGCAGAGCAGTGTCAAATGTCAAGAACCTGCCACTTCACAGCTGAAACTGTTTAAGTTAGAGTTCCGGTGTATACCCTGTTGTACTGTGGTAAAGAGGGCCTATGCTGTTGAGATGGGCCCACAGAAGTCTGTGCAGGAGGAAAGGCACTCAAAGTCCGTGGATCCCTTATGCCTGTGCCTAGGCAAAGGAGCTGTGCCTACCCTGGGTTCCTGGCTTAGGGGGGTCGGCAGTTTATTTTTACCCCTGATTGTTAATTAGTTCACTCTCCAAGGCAGGGAGAGTGGTTCTGGGCATGTGACAGATCCTACTTTGACCTAGGGGACTTGGCAACTGCTGAAGCTGGTCTGGGACCCAGTGTAGAGCAGGGAGCAGGGAGGTAAATGGGAGAGAGGTTTTTCCATAAGGGGGTGTTTTTGATCTTCGTGGTAAGCCATAAGGAAGTACTTATCTTTCAATGAGGGCTGCTTTTCCATCTCACTGGTTCATGGTGGCCATGTAGAGTCACTGGTGCTGGGTCTCTCCTAGAGCAGAAAATGCGCCTCCCGAGCTCTGCTGTTTGCCTGCTTCACCACTCACCCGCAAGCTGATCAGGTCTGAAGGGCTCAGGCTCTCACCGGGTCAGGTCTGGCAACTCCTCGTGCTTCTGAACCGTCTCTCCCTCCCCCTGCTGCTCAGTGCGGTTCCTCAATTCTGCCTTTGATGTTCAGGGCTCCCAGATTGCCATATATAATCGAATCACTTGTGTTTTTGGGTCTTTGTTGTAAGAGGGTCCACTGGAAGCATCTGACTACTCTGCCATCTTGGCCCCACCCCTTACCCGCCCTTTAAATGCTGTACTTCATTTGACTTCATAAGAAAACACTCTTTCAAAAATTTTATTTTGGAATAGCAAAGTGACCACTGGTTGGTAAGAATCTGCTAAATTTGCTGAGTTTTAACGGACTGATTGGTATTGAAAAGTTTGACTTATTTAGACATCCCGTTAAATAAATGAAGGAAATTCTCATTGCATTATACCAATGGATTTAACCATTTTATAAATTCTGTATTTATAACATTGTTACTATTTATTGGGTAGTATGTACCATGCAAATGTGATAGGTATTTTACCTAGTCTTATTTAATGTTTATAATATTACTGTGAGGAAGCTAAGACTGTTATGTCACTCGGTATTACTATGCTTCCTTTGAAGAGCCCAAGACTCCAGTTGGTTAAATGTCTTAATCCGCGTAACTGTTTCTATGATTCAGGATTTGAATTCTGGTCAGTCAGACTCTGAAGCCTAATTAAATCAGTGACCAGTTCACCACTCTGTGTTTTACTCCCTGTCTCCCCCCACGTAATTATGGCTAAGATTTAGGCTGTGCTTTTTAATGTATAGCTAAAGCCGGATTGGGTGGGTGAGGGTTCTGTCTGTAAGGGCAGCACATGGGGGGAAAGACTCTGGGGCCACAGCCGGTGGATGCTTTTTAGAAGCTGAGGTGAAGAGAGGAAGAGAGGAATACTGTAGCCAGCAGTTTTCAAGTCAGCAGCAAATACTGCATCCGACACCAAAGTGAAAGGCTGAGTGAAGAGATGATGGAGGTCTTGGAGTCTAGCAGTGATTCCCAGCTCTGCTACCTACTGGGTCTACTCCTGAAACAATCAGAGTTTTCAGGATGAGGTCCAAGAATTTGTATTTTTCAAAAGTCCTGCAGTTGTTTTTGATATGCAGCAAATGGTAGTAGGAAATGAAATAGGCCTGGGGGGGACGGGCAAAGTTGGTGAAAGTAAGGATTTAAGTTCGGAAGGCAGGAGTGCTGAGTATGTGGAGGACTGTTTATTTTCAGAAGAACAGAAGCTGAAGATTAAGGAACAAAACAGGCAGTGATGAGGAAGTATTGATTATGGATTTGGGGTATTATTTATTATTAATTTTTAAGCCCTGTTCTGGCTATATGTGGAAAATAAATCGATCTTTTTGGAGGTAGGTGTATCTTAACTGACCTGTTACCCAGAGAGGTTTTATTATAAATAGACTGATGATATTTCACTTAATTTCTGAGTAAAATATTAATTTTAAGCAAAAAGTATGCTTATTCATATCTTATTAATAACAAACATATTTTACTAATTCTATAATTATTTATTTTAGGTATTTCTTATTAAATTTTTAATTCCTGAGTACTTTTTTTCCCTAGATTTCTAACAGTGGCGCACTGTGTAATTTCAGGAAGATGATCGTATTTTAGGTTTGTTCTGTGATTTTTAAAAAATTTTTTAAAACACTCTAGGTAAGCTGTTTCCGTGACTCCGAAAGTGTGGTTATATCTTATGGTTTATAAATACTTCAAACTTGCTAGCAGACATTTTTTTTTCCTAAAACTTTGAATGATAAGACAAGAAGATGGAATGCAAGTGAATCTGTGGGAAGACAATCCAGAAGTTATATTGAGTCTGCTGACGGGGGTATCCCAAGGCGTTTTTATCCATGGAAATGTTTATAACATTATTCTTTGCCTTTTCCTTATTGTCTAAATCTCTGTGTTATTTTTGACAAGAAATAAATGCATACAAATGACTGCGGATGGCATTATTTTGGCATGGAATTCCATCTTTTTTTTTTTTTAAATCACTTTTGTGTCTGCTTTCTTTTCAGAATATTTGTTTTGCTACACCAAAGCCTCTTATTTGAATGTTAGTTGCTTAGTTTCCCATCCCTGTTCATACCTTTTCTACTTGCACGTAGACTAAGAGTTTTGAGTAGGAGGGATGAGAACGGGATGACTTGACTACACAATATAGTACAATTGAACTGTTTGTCTTATACTCATCTTTTGGTTTAAGGTTTTGGATGTATCCATCTTACAAAGGAACTTGCAGATTTCCAAGGACATGATGGTAGAGGAAAGGTAATGTAATAATACCTTACAGAGGGCAAAAATAATCCACCTAGGTTGGGTGCTTCATTAGATACCCTGGAAAAAGCTTGGGAAATGCTTGTTAGCTTTTTCAAGAAGACACTGACTGCTATGATCATAAAAGTCCAACAGAGTATTGTTCATCAAAAAACAGAAACTGAACCACAAATACTATCCCATCCATGTTTAAAAACATGATGTTCATCTTCCTGAAATATAGTATACATCTTAGTGATAAAATGTGAGTTGAAGAAGCCCTAAAGAAGGACACCTGAAGCACTGGAATGGAGGACTGTCATTGAAGAAGACTGTCTTCCTGAATGCTGAAAGCCTGCGAACTCATAGATAAAGCCAGTGAAACGTTATTCACCAAATTCTGGTGAATTTGAATGAGTAGTAATTTCTTGTTGTTATGGGTGCTGTTGAGTTGATTTTTGACTCATAGTGACCCCATGTGGCAGAGTAGAACTGCCCCGTAAGGTTTTCTAGGCTATAATCTTTATAGGAGCAGATTGTCAGGTCTTTCTCCCTTGGAGCTGCTGGGTAGGTTCGAACTATCAACCTTTCAATTAGCAGTCAAGCTCTTAACTGTTGCACCACCAGCATTGCTTAGTAATTTCTTAGATTCTAAAAGTTTCTGGATGAATACCCACTGCCCCTCAAAAATGCATGTACATCTTAAACAATAGGGCACAAATTTGTAAACTGTTGCCTCCAGAGAAGCGAAAAATGGAAAATACAAATTTCTGCACAAGTATAATTTAAATAAATATATTTATGATAGAAAAATAATAGGGCATTAACACAAGTAGGAGGCTTTGAAGTTTATCCATAATCTTGTAAGGTCGACGTCTGGGTAGAAAGCTGTGTCCTACAACAAGCCTTTGTCTTCACTGTAAGATAGACTGTTGGCCTGGGTGGCTCAGGGGCCTGCTTAGCTCTGTTGGTTCATGTGCTCTGCTAGTATACTTACTCTGTGCTGCCGTCCTGCCAGATTCTCCCAGGATACTAGGACTTTGCTTTCCATTTTAGAAAACTATTGGTTAATGGAGTCCACTGCCTAATCAGCTCAGTGATTCAGTAGATGTTTATTGAAGAGGTTTACATGCTTATTATTATATATATAAAATGACTCAGATTAGACTCATAATTTGGTGTGTTTGTGTGTGTGTATTTCATTCATTTATTTTTGTGAATTAGGTGCTCTTTAGATGCTGGCGTTGAGCCATGACCATTTTGCCGAGCAAACTTTGAGAGTCCTTCTCTGCAGTGGAGTATTACATGTAAAGCTTTACAGGTAGCTGGGAACTTTCTGCAGCTATTCCTTTAATTAACAGAACCAGTTGGACTGTCCTACTGGGTCTGCTCTGGTTGTGGTGATTTTCTGGTATTTCTTTTGAAGAGATTGCTTTAGGAAAAATGTCCTAAGGCACAGACCAGTCTTAAGTGATAATTCTACAAGTTCACCCATTGACATTTCCAGAAAAGACTCAATTTACATAGAATAACCAGTTAAGATGTTAGAAAATTTCAGGAGCCAAACATTTTTGGCTAGATTCTGGAGCTGTCTTTTAAGTAAGCCTGGAAGCCAGAACCAAAGGGATCTTTGGTTTTCTTCGTTTTCTGCTTCTGACATTTTTCTACTAAAGCACCCCAGTGGCAGAGGAAAATAAATTTTGCTACTAAAAGTTCTCATTCGTTGAAGATTCTAAAATGTTTTATATTAATAAACCAAAAAACCCATTGCCATCTAGTAGATTCTGACTCATAGCGATCCTATAGGACAGAGTAGAACTGCCCCATAGGGCTTCCAAGGCTGTGATCTTTGTGGAAGCAGACCGCCACATCTTTCTCCCATAGAGCCACTGGTGGGTTTGAACTACTGACTTTCGGTTAGCAGCCAAGTGCTTTAACCACTGCGCCACCAGGGCTGCTTCTATAATATATACTTCCTGATTTTTTTTTTTAATTGAGGTTAAATTGACATATGACAAAATGCATAGATCTTAAGTATACAGTTTGGTAACTTTTCACAAAAACATACACTGGTGTAGTATACATACCTTTCATGATATTTTAACATAGAAATAGTTTGAAGTTATTTTCCATCAAGAAAATTGATACTCTAGGAATATGTACCTTTTTCATCTTGCAGCTTCTACTCCTTTTTATACCACTCTGTATTCCTGATGGATGGGACAGTGGGCAGTAACATAATTATTCCATTTTGAGAAGCATGGACTTCATCAAGATATCTGTTCAAAATTACTACACATCTTGATGGCCTTTCTTTAGCTAATGTGTAATATTAGCTAGAGAAATTGGTTAATGTTCATTTTTCCCCTAAACACTGAAAAATTCTTACTGTTCTAATTGCAGTTTATCAAGTCAAGCAATAGATCTATGATTAGGAAATTAAAGATTCATTCACACTCATCATTTTTCCTGGTGATCTGTTGATAGTAAACCCTTATTCACATGTTTGTCGTCTGTCGTTTAATTCCTTTAACATCCTTTCCAGGATAGCACTGGCCACTTTCCTTTCCAGTACTCACCCACCAGGTGCCCACTGACAACTCACTCCCGGTTTTCATTCCCGTTTCTTGAATTCTTTCTTGAACATTGCCTGTAACTATGACAGAGTGCTTTTACTTCTCGTTTCCTCCACAATCTTTCAGGGAGCAGATATTAAAGCTCCTTTGCTGGAGAGACCCAAGTTTTCGTTATTGTATCTGGTGCAATTAACAATACCTTAAGCCCAATAGATGGATTTCAATTGCAGGCATTGGTATTAGATAATATAGGAAATACAAAGTTGGGTAAGAAGTAGACCCCACAGGCAAGGAATGTTTAGTAATATTAAGGGAGATGGTGACGATAATATTTATTAAGAGCTTTTTATGTGCCAGGCACTATTATAAGCCTATTGCGTGTATTATTGGATTTTATCTCCACAATAATCATTTGAGATAAGTAGTAATATACCCGTTGCATATTAAGAAGCTGAGTGTCTTAGGTTGAGTCTCCTAGAAGCAGAGCCTGGGATGCAGATTCTTGAGCAAGTGGTTTATTGAGGGTGTGCTCTCAGGAGGAACCGGTAGGCAGGGGAGGAAGGTAGGATAGGGAAGGCAGTGGTTCTGGAACCAGAAGTGTCAGCACCACCTGTTGGAAATGATATTTTCAGGTGTCACACCAGAGCCCTGAATTGGAAATGGGGAGGGGGACGGCAGCCACCTGTGTTTTACAAAGTCCTCCAGATGATTCTAACTCAGGCTGAAGTTTGAGAGCTGCTAGGCTCGGGGAAGAAGCCAGGCAAAGATCTGAGTTCTGCTAAAATTGAGCCTCAGTGGGATCCTTCAGGGGCTTTGGAGTGTGAATGTCACCATAGAGTTGTCATTGAGGAAGAGGGCAAACTTGATACTCCATATCAGGCTGTGGCTGTGGGAAATGCCTTGGGGGCCAGGCAGTGAGGGAAGAGTGTATTCTCCTGGAAATCTTTGGGCAGTGGATGTGCCAGCTAGGTAAAGGGTATGTAGGTGGAGCATCACAGCAGCCACCACACTGAAGTACAGGGAAATTACATAACATGCTCAAAGTCCTCCAGCTAGTAGTGGGATTTCAACTCAGGAAATCTGGCCCTAGGGTCCATGTTCCTAACTATTACTTATACCGTCACTATTATGGTCAGAACCGTAACAGCAAAAGCAACATGGACATAAGTGAACAAGAGACAATTCAGAGGAGGGAGTTACTTCTGATTTGGGTAAAGTAGAAGCCATCGTGGAAGGGTTGTCATTTATTTTGCCTTAAAGTAGTGTAGATCTGGACGTGTAAAAATGCATGTGAAACGCCTTCTAGGCTTTCCAGTGGCATGCAAGTGTGGGTGTATGTGTAGAAAACTGGTTATTCTGTTCGGCTGAGATTAAGCTTATTAAAGAGAGTTCTAGAGAAAAATCATTTAATATTGATTTGAGGCAAGTCATGGATATCCCTAGATGCAAGGCCAGTGAAGATTTTTAATTTAGAAAGTGACATAGTCAGGACTATACTTTAGAAAGAAAGATTAATATGCTGAGATGTGTAGGATGAATTTTAGGAAGAGAAGCTGGGAATAAGCAGGAGGGAGATAAGTCTGGAAGCTATCATTGTATGAGTTAAACTAGGACTCGCTCTCATCATGGCAGTTTAACTGGAAAAGAAGAAACAGAAAAATTATTACAGAAGAAGTAGTAACAAGAATTTGGGGGGATAGAGGAAAGGACACCATTGAAGATGCTGGCTGACTGAGAGAATACTGGTCTTTTAATGAGTGGATGGAACTCCTGAGGTAGCCGTTGCTGTCGAGTCAATTCTGACTCACAGCGACCCTATAGGACAGAGTAGAACTGTGCGATAGAGTTTCTAAGGAGTGCCTGGTGGATTCAAACTTCTGTCCTTTTGGCTAGCAGCCATAGCTCTTAACCACTATGCCACCAGCGTTTCCTTCTGAGGTAGAGAATGTTTCAAAGTGTGCAAGAAATTGCATTTCAGGTTCAGGAGCATGGAATTTGGCAAGGGGCATCCCATGTGGAGGTGTCAAGAAAGTAGGAATGTTCAACTAAAACTCAGGGATAGATACATAGATTTAGAAGATTTCAATGCAGAAGCAATCATCGAAAGCCACAAAGGCTGATAATAAAATTGCTAAAGGTGGAAATAATGAGAGGGTCATTGTCAGTTAGGATTAAAATTCTTGGTCTTTTCTTGTTCAGTTTTTATCCATTGACTCAACATGGCTTCCAAATGAATAATGAAGTTACAGTTTTGCATATTAAATCGAGGGAGAGTTAAGCCCCTTACTGCTTTCTAATTTAGTGTAGGGAAAATAATGGGAAAAAATTTTTTAAATGTCCTCTTAGGTGAAAGCAAACATGTCTTTTCAGCTCTTCCTAGGTAGTATTGTGACCTTTTATCTTCTGTCTTCTTTTTTTCCCCAAAATTAAATGGTTTGG